AGTTGAGATTCATTGGTTAAGAGTGTGAAAAATGTGATCATATCCTTTCTGGAGGGTAGATTTTGATTGCTCAGGACAGAAAACTGAGTCCTTGGCCCAAGGGATGTAGGAAGAAGTACCTCGGGTTGCTATGGGAAGGTGGGGGAGTGCGGATTAGGAGTGGGATGTGGTGTGAAAATAAACTTCTATTTGTCAGTTTTGCTTGAGGCTGGCTCTGACCAGGACATAAGAGAGATAAGAAGCAAGGAGGAGAATGAGCTTATGAGAAAAGTGCATCTTCATGAATACATATTTAAAGCTGTCTCAATACACGCTCCCAGTATCACTGGGGTTGGGAAACCGATCACCTTAACAAAGCTGTTTCAATCCCTGTATTAATTGTTCTTCCTGGATAACACTAAAATAAAAACTTTATCAAAATTGAGTATGAAAATTACTCTGTGAGAGGTGATGAGTGAGTTACGTGCCTAAGGATCCTGCAGGAGAGTTTATGGAAGAACATTCGTGGGGCCCTTGGAGAAATAAGCTGTGTAAATTCTTTTTTCTGTACCTGGAATCGAACTCAGGACCTTGCGCTTGCGAGGCAGCTGTGGTGCCACTGAGCTAAATCCCTGGCCCTTAGTTGTGTAAATTTTTTAAAATCCAATTTTGTCTTGTTTTTGTTTGCTTCTCCATCATTTGCTAGTCAAGCAGCTCACTTCTTACCCCGTTCTTTTGTTGATGCATGGCATGAAGAATTTTAGTGAATTCTGTTGGTTGAAGGTCCACTCCCCGGCCTCTGGGAGGCGCTGTGGCATCGTTAAGCTTGTGCTGCCTGGGTTTGATCTCAGTTTTTTTGACCTTGGGAGACCTTACTGAATTTCCATTTCTTCACCTGTAAAATGGGGAACAAACTAATGCTAGCATCATCTTAGGCATGGATACGCCAATTGTTCCATTCTTCAAGGACCCTTTGTTGATGCTTAACTCCTTGAAGATGTGAGTCTCCCAAAGTGTCAGTCTGAGGCAACGTCTGAGCAGAAGGTTGGACTTGCTTGGTTGGTCATTGCTATCCTGCGATGGAGTCTGGTGTGTAAAAACAATCCAGGAGGAAACTGGGGTTGGCTTATCCTTCCCTGCCCCGAGACTGCCCTAGTCTCGATCTTGAACAATGTTTCTCAGGACCAGCAGCTTTAGCATCAGTATCACCAAGGAATCTTGTTAACAATGCAAGTAAACTACCAGCCCACCCTAGCACTCCTGAAAGAGGGATCCCGGGGGTGGATCCCAGTAATCTGCATTTGGCAAGCCCCTTTGGGGAAACTGAACTGTACTTGGATTGTATTAATTACTACCTACTGTATTGATGAAAAGCTGTGAACTGCAAATCATTCCTCTAAGAATTCTTCGAGTGTGCCCTAATCTAGTGAATTCAGAGCAAAACTCTCAGCCTGATTGGTACTAGAAGGATAGAAAAATAGGAGTAGGAGGAAAAGTAAGCCATTCCCTGGAGTTCTGTAGTTGAGAAATGGAATCTCCTGTGGAAAGAAGGCTGGATGCCAAAGAAGCAGTGAGATGTGGATCCTGTGGATCTCGATTTGGCTGTGACATCAGATGGATTTGACTTGAGTCTTAAATATTTTTATTCATTAGTTTTTATTGGAAATTGACAAATTATAATTTTGTATATTTATGTGGTACAAAATGATGTTTTAATTTATGAGTACAATGTGGGATTAAATTATACTAACAAATGCATCACCTTAGATACACTTCATTTCTGTGATGAGAATATTCAAAATTTACTCAGTAAATTTGAAACGTACAACACACTATCATTATATTAGTAGATGCTTAGGACAGCTCTCTCACACACACAAAACCCGAAGTGATTCTTGTGCCCTTTGATGTCACCTCTCACCCCCACCCCCACCTCTGCTTCTAGGAGTCCATTGTTGTGGCTTTCACATGTACGTGAGGACATTTGCTATTTCTCTTTCTGTGCCTGGCATATTTGACTGAGCATAATGTCTTCTAATTCACTTGTCACAAATGACAGAATTTTTCTTTTTTTTGAGGCTGAAAAGTATTCCACTGTGTACGTCTACCACCTTTGCTTTATCCTTTCCTCTGCTGATGGGCACTATGATTGGTTCCATCGTTGGGTGATCTGGAAGCATGCTGTGATAAACACGGGAGTGCAGATTATCTCTGCAACACACTTATTTCAAATCTTTGGGGTAGGTAAATTCCAAGAATTAGGACTTCTGAATCACATGGTAATTTTAGTTTTAATTTTTGGAGAAGCTTGCATACAGTTTTCTATGCCTATGTTAATTTACATTCATAGAGTCATAATATGGGCTCCATTCAGAGGGTCAGATGTGAGGGAACCATGTAAAAGAGCAGAGACCAGAGACAGCTGGCCTAATTACATTTCCTTTCTAATCTTCTCATTATTATTATTTATTAGGCATTTCCCTCTTTCCTTCCTGAACTCAGGACAATGTTGTTTAGTAGAAATGGGACCAACCAGTAGGCTGAGCCATGTGTTTGAGCCCTGCCCTGCCACCAACTTGCTGTGTCTCCTGGTCAAGTTGACCCTCGGGACATTTGTTGCCACAGCTGTTAAAAGAGCTTTGACGACATGAGCCCTCAGGTCTCTCTTCCAGCCCTGACATTTGTGGATAAATTCCTCCACCTCTCCACTGCCCACGGCACCACTGGCCAAGCACTGCTGTCTGCAGCCGTCTTGACGTCACAAGCCATCGCATCTCACCTGTTCCCTGCATCTCTTGCCTTGCAAAGAAGCTTGTGTAAAATGCGGAGAGGGTAAAGCGAAGGCCCCCAGTGCGGTGCGTTGTCCAGAGGACTGGCCTCATCACAGGGCCACCAGGGGCCCAGCAGAGGGTGACTGTGTTGGAGCCATCTACATCATCATGTAGATCCAAAGGTGCTCCACAGGTGCCATTAGCACCAGGCCTGTGCTTGCAAACATGGGCTGCCACAGTCTTCACTGTCTGGGGAGCTCTTTTCTCAGAGCTTGACTTTCTGGATTTGTCCACTTTTATTTTCAGGACTCACAAGTTTGGAAAGAAAAGTCTGTGATTTTTCTTTCCTGGGTAAATGTACACTTTGTTATCTGATCTCAAGAAATAGCATGAAATTAACTTATTTCTCCCACCCTTGGTTAAAAGAAATGTCATTTTGTTCTGCGGCTCTTCACATGCTGGGTAGTATCTGACCATCAGTAGTTTTAGGGCTGGATGGGGTCAAGCAACTAAGACAGACTCGCCCACAGGCAGGAAGGAAGAGACCCTGCCCAACACATTTAAATTGCCGTGCCTTTGATCCCGACACAGACTGGTAGCCTGAAGGAGCACAGCACTGCGTGCTGAAGGCTAACATTTCTGTTTCCGTTTCTGTCACTTTCTCTGTACCGATTGGAGTGGCTCTCCGAGGACTGTCGGTCACACTCACTAAGGAGGGCTCGTGTCACTTTCTGCTTTCCCAATGTGCTGGAGAGCTGTGTAAAAATGGTATCTTTAAACCAATAGTCAATAATGAGCATTTATTTGTTTTGCAAATAATCACCATCTTGATACCATTCTGATACCACAATCTGAGAAGTCATGTTATGGAGGCATGAGAAAAATATTTTCCTTACTTTTACAAAACTGGTTTTGAGCTCTGAAAGACTGGTTTGCAGGTTCTAATAGACAAGGCAAAGAGATATTCAGAAGTTCTAAATTCAAAGATGCTTTCTGAGTGTTATTCAACTCTAAGATTCTATATGTCCAAGACTGAACAAGATCCTCTATTTCGTTAATCATGAATTCATGATTCTATCCCCAAAAACCAAAAATAGAACTTTCTTATAATCCAGCTATAGTAGTCCTTGGTGTATATACCAGATGAATGGAAGTTAACGTATGTAAGAGATATTTGCATTCCCATGTTTATTCTGTCAATATTCACAACAGTCAACTTATGGAATCAGCCTAGGTGCCTGCCAACAGATAAATGGAGAAAGAAGTCACAGTATATATGCACAATAGAGTATTTGGTCATAAAAAATGAAATTATGTCATTTGCAGGAAAATGAAGAGAACTAGTGATCATCACGTTAAGCAAAACAAGCCAGATCCGTTTCCCCCAATATGTGGACTCTAAAGGAACCCCCCCCCCAAAAGATAACACACAAGTGGAAGGGAGATTATTAGACAGGAATCTGGGAGGGGAGGGAAAGTAATGGTAATGGGAGAAAGTTATGATCAAAACATGTTATGGACATGTATGGAAATGCCACAAAGAACCCCAATATTCTGTATAATTAATAGGTACTAATAAAACATTTTGAAATATTCTATTGTATAGCAACAAGCCCTTTACCCAAGCTTTAGTGGGGCAATGGATATGATGGATTCTTTCATTTCCTCACCATCCAACCCTGAAGGGGAGGGCCAGAGAGTGGTCCTTGGCTTTTTCAAACCTTTTCGTCTTCATCATTACCCACTTCCTACGGTCAGGAGGAGCTGGGGAAGTAAACTGGCTGAAATATGGGTCACAGGTTGCAAGTCCATGGCCGGAGCACTCTGGCTGCTGGCTGCTGGGGGCTGGAGGAAAGGAGCCGTCCAAATCCATCCCTTTGCCCACTTTGTGGCTGGCACCAACTGACGTGAGTGTTCCACCCTGCCTTGTGTCTCAGTAGAGGTAATTCTGGGTCTAGTGGCTGTCTGGGACTCACGGGACAATGACATTAACTCCGAAGCTCCCCCGACAATGGCTTCTCTTTGCTTTGGCCCACTGCGAGGACACTGAGATGTGGGGCCCACCCTCTGTTTCCCAGCATCTTCCAGAGACACTGGGCCAGTGGCAGTGGCTGTTCTTGATGTAGCCGCACCAGTCGGGGTTTTCTGTAGTGAGCTGCTCTGCTAGCACACTCAGAGTAAGCAAATGCACAGTTGGTGGTTACTAAATGGAATTGAAAACACAGGTAACACACTCCTGGGACAAAATGCTAATTTTAATTTAATCGTTAACTTTATTCCCTACCTAATTTATTACTACAGCTTCATGTTACTGTAGGTTGGGGTCACTTTCATGATCTATACATGTTTTTTCATATAAGAAAGCTGAGGTGCAGCGTAGACAAATGGCCTGTCCAAGACCCCATAGCACAGCCGTAGTGGAGATGAGACCCAAATCATTGCTTGTGGTTCCAGCCCAAGCCCTTCCCAACCGCACGTGCCCAGCGCAGAAGAGTAAATCCAGATCGAGTTGTGGCATCAACGAAAACATACACACATTTTAAAATGAGCAAGATGCTAGCTGAACCCCCAAGAGGACAGATTTTCATGTGCCCTCCAGGGTTCAGAGATAATTTGTTCAGTTCCAAGCCAAGCACCTTCTTCTTTAAGCCCCGAGATCTGCTTTTCCTCTGGGCATGGTGTGTGCTCAGAAGCCGTCTTCATCTTCTGCAGGTGCACAGGTGAAAATGTGCTTTATTTTGTTCATTATGCATGTTTTGAGATTAATTTCAGCATCTAGAAGAGAATTTAGACCAGAAAGTACTAACTTACTGACCTGTCTCACCCAAAAGTTGCTTAAACGAAGTTGTTTAAGTGTTTGGAAACTATACTTCTTTTCTTCTAAAGAGAAATAAATTGCTATCATTATTTCTTTCCTCAACTGTTTTCGCCTAAAAGAGATGGAGATTTTATACTCACCCTGTGAATTGGTTTTCTTCTGTTATTCTTCATTATTAAAATCAATCAGGCAAATATGTACTGTTGCTAGTCTGAGACAATGGGAATAAAATAATTTTACTTTATAACTCCAGTACCTCCTAGAGAAAGTTAACTGGTAAAAATCTTGGTATTTAAATTTGAGGTTGAGTTTTCAATTACTTATTTGAGTGTGAAGTGGGTATAAAAAATCAGTTATGGGAAAGAATCTACATTGAATTCTGTACTTTGGGTGCTGCGTGTTGCTGGCCTCAAAAAGCTTCTTTTGGGTAGACTGTATTTCAGGCTGCAGTCCACATTGTTTATCTAGGGCAGGACTGCAAACTTTTTCTCTGTAGGATCAGAGAGCAAATGTGTGGTTCCTCAGACCAGAGGGCATGGTCGCAAGTTCGTGGTTCATTGTGCTGTGGAAGTGGCTGTGGACAGCAGGTAACCAATGAGTACGGCTGTGTTCCCATACAACATGAGCTAAGATGAGTAATACTAACAAGAATGAAGATGGGGAAAGGAGACCTCGAGGAGGAGGGAGGGAGAGAGGGGAGAGGGAAGGGAAAGGGATTTAAAAAAGAAAAAGGTGCATTATGTCCATGCATCCACACCCCAAGATGATTCTAAATTTCATGTACTGCAACATGTACGAATAATAACAACAAAACTCTGTTTACAAAGGCGGGGAGTGGGCAAGATTTTGGTCCCCGGGCCATGGTTTGCTGATCTCTGATCTAAGAACTTCTTGGAATAAATATGTTATTGTGGGCTATGCAAACAAAATGTTGGAGCAGAGGAAAAACATGAGTTGGTTGAGAGCCAGAGGCTGTTACTCCACGCTCCAGCTCTGCGGCTCAGTCTCCAGAGCTACACCTGCCCCACAGCGACTCTGTCCTCAAACAGGGACTCTGAAAGCACAACTGAGAGACCTTCACGTGCCTCGTTTTATAACTTTTAAATGGGGCATGTTCCTCAGGAAGAAATATGGGTATTCCATATGTCTGTGTGTATGCATCCTTCCACTTTATGCTGCATCTAAAAAATCTAAAATCTACACTCACACAGCTGTCCTAACATCCATGGAGAAGGGTTCCAAGACCCCCACAGATACCAAGATGGAAGGACATGCAAATCTTTTATATAAAATGGCATAGTTTGCATAGACCCTGTGGACATCCTCCGTTAAATCATCTCTAGATTACTTTTAATACCAAACATAATGCTAATGCTATATAAATAATTCCTACACTATATTGTTCAGGGAATAATGATAAGAGAAAAGTTTGTATACAATCAGTACAGACCCGGTTTTTTCCCTGAACATTTTCCCTGCACGGTGGATTGAATCACAGATACAGAACCTGCAGATATGGAAACTGTACTATATCTAATATGCTGTGCAACTTTTTCAAGTTCTGTTTTTGGTAGCTACTTTCACAAATAACAAGGCTAGGTCCCTCTTTGTCCTTTGCTAGGCTCCAAGTGACCCAAGCATCACAGATGGGCTGTATTTCTGTCTGGGATTCAGGGCTGGTCTGCTCCAGGTGAGTGTGACCCACAGGGGCAGGCTCTGGGTATCTGTGGCCCTCACACTTCCCCCTGCCAAAGTGATTGCTTGCTAAGTTGTTCAATCAAGGCAAAGAGATGGCAATCAGAGCCTAGGTCACAAAGGGAAGGGCGGAATCCATCAAACTGACAGACGAGGTAGATGGTCAGGAGAGGGTTAGTAAACTCAAAGACAGCTGGAACAAGATGTAAAACACAAAGGATGCAGTTTGATGGCAAATTCTGGGAACTCTGAATTTCACATTTGTTGGGATGTCCCTTGTCAAAGGCAGGCTCCCCCATTTCCAGCCTGGAGGCAGGGACTACAGTGATAAAACCCTGTGGCAGTGACCTGATCTAGGTATCTATTGGGTCTTGGGGGCTCAATTCACCTTAGGACCCATGGCATATGGGTTGACTGGCCAGAATTAAGGGCAAGAAACCTGTCATCAAAAGTGGCATTTTCAACTTGAGTCAGGGGCTGAGGTATTTGTGGAGGGGTCAAGGTCGAAGGCCAGGGCTCTGAGGCTGAGTTGCCAGGGTTCTGCCACCAGCACCAACACTTGTGGGCTGTGTGATGATGCAGTGTGAACTAACCTCAGCCTTTCCAAAATACCTTCTCTAAAACCATCTACGCTTCCTTCCAAAACACTGCACACTACTGCCTGCCTCCCAACCCCCCCCCCCAATATTTTTCTCTGGCTGCCACAAATTGCTGGATGGAATCATGTGAATTCTAAATGACTTTTAAAAATTGGCATTACTGTGCTGCAAGTCAACTACTTCATAAGCTGTGTCAGTGAAAGGTCTCCCCACCAGTTAGTCTGGAGAAGTTTTTGCTGTCATATCTGTCCTGTTAATTTAAGCAGAAACTGTAATTAGATGTAAGTGGTTCTGTTCCCACAGAAATGAATGGCAGCATCTATAGAGAGACAACTGTTCCAAACCCTTTTGGCTACTAGTGCTCTACAAGTCAGCAGTATGGAGTAAGGCCCAGATCCAGACTTCTGTCGGCCTAATTTTATATTTGTGGATGCACAACACTAAATCCAATATTTCTAATGCCTTGCTGTGATGGGTGCAAAGCCAAGCACATTCCAGACTTTTATGCTGGTGACACCTCCTGAGAAGGATACACTAATAGTGTAACTGTGTGTGTGTGTGTTTCTATTTCTTCACTCACTGAGCCTAACAAGAAAAATAAAGAGAGGTTTGATGTGCAACTATGTGCAAAATTAGAAAAACAGAAAAAAGTAGAAAGTTGTATTTATAACCAAGCAATGAAATCACGAAGATATTTTAATAAAGATTCTTTTGTTCTTTTCTTGGCTTCTCTGATGAAGAAGTGTACTGGTGTGTCCAGAGTACGGCTGATGACACAGCCATGTGCGAGAGCCTCCCGTGTGTGAGGGACAGTTTTGGGGGGAAGAGTGTCTTTGTTAGGCCGGGCTATTTCCAGGCAGTTAAAGAAATCCAGTCTGTACATTCCAGACTGTATAAAGCTTCAACAATCCAATGAGACCAGGTGTGCTTGAGTATCTACCCCTCATCTACGCATATGTTACACTAGACACTGGGTGTACAGTAGATGACATGGTTCCTCTTCTCAGCAAACCTGCAGTTTGGCTAGGGGTTGAAATACACAAGTTCAAGTAAAAATACACTGTCCTCATAGAATGGGAACAATAAGGAAAAAAGCAAACTCTTTCATGATGGGACAAGCATGGTCCAAAAAATTCACTTACGTAAGACTTGGTGTCATATGGTAAGACCTGTGAGGTTGTGAGGTCGCCCAGCTGGCCATTCGGGGCTTCCAGGGTCTGTGCCATCTAAATCCATCCTGGTCCTGGCCACAGTATGGTGTCACCTGAGGGCAATTGTTCATTCCAGCTTCATTATCCACAGGAGGATCCTGGGGCCTGTGTGTGGGACATTCAGGATGGACTTGGTGATTCCGGAGATCTCCCAGATGGTTTCCACCATTTCATTAGCTTGAGCCAGGGAAACTAAGAAATGAGAATAGCCCTCAGCTTTCCTGGTTTCTGATGGGTTTACCTCAGAGCATAGTTCCAAGCACCCCTGACTCCAACCACGTCCCATGTCTTTGAGAACCACACTTGCAAGAAATGGCACCCAATCATTAATCCTGTCATATCCAAATTTTCTTTGTCCCTTTTTTTAAGCTTCACATACATGCAGAGGGATTGTTCAGTATAGGTTGTAACAGCAAAGGTTTCTTGGAAGATGTCAGACTTAGGCCTTAATGGAAATGTGAAATGTAGTTGTCCTAATGATGGTGAAGACATTTCAGGAAAAACAAACTTTATAATACCAAGCAGAGAATATTCTCCTACCTGTCTTTGCAGTTAGTTTAAAAATCATGTACTTGATTTAGCAAGTACTTGACCAAAATAGAATAATTTGGACAACTTTGAAATCATTTGGGGCGGCAGGAAGAGACAATAATCTATATTGGTACTGGATAGTGTTGTCTGGTTTTGAATTATTTAGTGGTTTCAAAGCATTTTGGACAGTCAAGGAAAAGCCTCTTTTCACAGGTAGAAATTTAGCTGTACCCACACATGACTTAAGACACCAGCAACCGTGACATATTTAAATGTGAAGATCAATTAGAGAGAAAGAGAGAGAGAGAGAATAAACAGAATAAATGCTCACCTAAGAACTAACTTACCTTAGATTTTCTAATTTAAAAAATGGGCTGGCCCTTTCCTATAAACACAGCAGCTTTGCTTGAAATTTTGATTTTAGTTAAGTCTCAATCAGGCTACAGATACTCCAGGGATCAAGATAGGAAATCTAAATTTATAGCAATTGTGCAGCTCATTTCTAGTACAGGCTTACCTTCTGGTTGATTCACTTGTTATTACCTTTTCCCTTGGTGATTTTCCTATTCCTCCCTATGGGTAATGCTTTGCTTTTTTCATGTAGTGCATTTTAATCTTTAAAGTGCCATGCAGGCAAGAATTAATCTCTGGTGGAATTTTTTCATTTTGTCGATGGAGGAGATAGCAGAGGAGATGTAGTAGATTGTTTGGGACTCTAAAGTGGAATGTTTTCAGATCTGGGATTGGGTGTGAGCCCTAACCCTAGAAATCCTAAAACAACATTAACATTTTTATTTGCTCCTATATTATATGTTCTTTTAAACCAAGTTTTTCTCTAAGATCTTTCTTTTTTGGTGGTGGTTGTCTCACGCTTGACAGGCAAGTGCTTTTTACAGAGCTACATGCCCAGCCCCTTCTTAAGCCAGCTTCATATGTGTTTCTACAGAGACAGGTATGGAATGAGAGATGACCAATGGATAGAGTTCAAATGTATTTTTATTTGGCCCAAATAAAGAAAACCAACAATACTCAAATAAAAACACTACTGGCAGCACCAGATAGAGTAGAGGTAGGGGAACTCATTTTATCCCTGAGGGGTGCAGTGCTTCATGTCTACAAATAGAAACAAGGACAACAATATGAACTGACCTATAGAGATAGGTACTGGCAATGGTCACTGAGCTTCCTAAACATCCAGTAACTTAGGGAAAGGAGATTGGCAGCAACATCAGGACTTGCCATAGTTCATTTAACAAGCAGCAGGAGCATGCAGTCCTGGGAGCCATGTCCAGCGCTCTTTGTGTCGAATCACACCTGTCTCATGAGAGAGGGTGAGGCTAGCTGACCTTGTGGGTCCTGTGTGGCTCTTACATCACATGATCCTCTCCTATCAGAGGAGGACCTTCCAGCAAGTGTGAATGGAAGCTCAGGAAAGACTCCAGTGCTGGACTCTTGCAGGGATGGCTCATGGAGTCAAGATCGAGGTGGTGGTTCTCAATCTTGACTTTACATCAGCATCACTTCATGATGTTTAAAAAACTCGGGAGGCTCCAGTTAGTGCCTGGACACATTTGTGGGAGAGGGGCCCACATCTGTCTTCCTAAATCTTCTCTGGGGATTCCACTGCAGCTACAGTGGTGCACAGCAGCTTTAGGCTTAGGAATTCCTGCTCACCTCTGGGAGGTGCTGCTTTGATATACCCCTCTCTTTCCTGCACCTCAGCCCCCTTTGCTCCTGCAAGCTAATGGGAAGGACAGCCACCTTGAGCTCCCTCACCCCTCCTTGCTGTTTACAACAGAGCATGATTGCTAGAGGGGTGGGGAAGAAAGAAAATTAATAACAACAGTCTTGGACAACCAACATTGGCAACAGGTTCATTCCTGCCAAAGACTTAGCAGTGCATAACTATGACATGCCAAAACATTAGCAAGGAGCCTACTCACGCATGACTTGCTGGGGTAGCTTTGCCAGCAGACATCAACGAGCTCCTGGGAGTAACATACACCAAAAGCGGCTCCCCAGACAGGGGATGTTGGGGCTTTATATCAGGGGAAGAAACAAAAGAGATGTGCAGTGTCAAAGCATTCCCATGTTCAAAGTGACCCAACACCATATGGGAGTCTATCAGCTAGAAAATGGTTGATTAAAATTTTGACCCTCTCCACTGACCAAAAAGGAGTTTATCCCTAAATCTGGCAGAGTCAAACCATGTTCCTTCTAGAGTTGGATTATATCCTCATGAAAAATGCTGGATTCTTATTCAGCATCAGGCCCCCTCTTTTGTAATCTGATCTTGAGCTCTTTGACAAAAAGAAATCCATACTTCTTGAAATGAAAAAACATGAAAGAATTACAAGTAACTATCTGGATGACATTCTATTTAAAGTATAAATGCATTTCAATAGTAGAAAGGAAAAACAGAACTGGGTATTATTTGATAAATTATTTTCTGAATTTTCCTAAATTGCACATGTATAAAAATTCATTTTAAATTGAGTCAGTCTTTTTCTAAATGTTATTAACTAGGTGGAAGAGGGGTAGTGCATGTGGAAATCTTTTTTCTAAGTGTAGGAGCGATCCCCCAACTCTGAGATAAAAAATAAAGGTGCCTTTTCACGTTTCCCAACATTGCGAGCTTCAGTTATTAGTAAGCAACAAGATAGAAATACTTAAACAATTTTAAACTTTTTCATTGTGAACTGCACACATATATCAGAAAAATGCAAAACTAAAATAAAAAATTCAGCTCATAAAAGAACCTTGGTGGATCCACTCTTATGCCAAGATCCACATTGTTGTAAACTATCCTAGAAAAAATTCAGACAGGACAATTATCATTGTGAAATTCTGTCTTTTTTCTTGGAAAGTAAGAAGTACACATTTAAAACAAGCTCTGAGCAGTTCTTATGAGGAAGAAAGCAAGAAAGAGTGTCCACGGACAGCGCTGAGTCCATCCTGCTCAGATGCTCCATGCTGGCTGCACAGTTTGGGGTCTTGGAGGGCCACCCCTGTGGAATGGCAGGGAGGACTCGATGACACCTCATCCACCAGAGGTCCATGTCATCACGCAACTTAAACACAGAAGGAAGCCTCAGATGCCTAGTCTCTATAGCAACCACAAGAAATTAAAGAATTTCAGTTCTTACCTGTGTCACTTACAGGACATTTCAGAGGTAGATCTCACATGCCACGGTCACAAAAACCCCTTTCCATTCTCACTTCTTGCACACTCTACAGCAGTTCTGGCAACCACCCTCCCTAAGAAATAAGCTTCACACATCTGCTGGTTTCTCCTCTTTCTGTTCTTCCTCTCCTTTCCTCTGTTTTACATTGTGTAGATCAATTACCCAGCTCAGCCTTCTCTTTTAAAATTCCCTTCAGCGTTACCTATCATGTAGCTTTCTAACAACAAAGGAGGCTGATGGAGGCACGATTCCTGCTCGCTTTCCTCTTTCTTTCAGGTCTTTTTTCTATGTATTCATTTATTGAATTCTGTCTCACAGAGAACCCAAACTGGTTTGGCAAAGCCAAAATATGTTTAGGGAATGAGAGAGTGGGTGAAATGAGTGACAATCCTCTGACAGCTGAGGGTCCTGTGTGTGGAGCTGGGTGAGAGAAGAGGGAGACTGGAAATACTCAGATCAATAAGGCTTAGCCCAGGCATAATTGATTAATTGGAACTGAATTTTAAAATAACATAAATCGAATGTGCATAGGGGTTGGGAATGCTACATCTTAACCTCATAAGGAGCAGGACTATCTGCTAAAGGGTTAAAAGCATTGTAAGGCTGCCCTGTGTGGATCAGAGTCACAGAAAGCATTGCTCTGACCCTAGAAGGTTCCTAAAGACTCAGGTGGTAGAGGCTGGGGGGAGCTGGGGAAGGAATAAGAAGGGAAAAAAGAGGTTAAATTATCCACTGGGGACAGAGGCAGCCTTCCCCAGGTTCTTTGCTGAGAACCTCTCCTATTCTCCACCCAAATATTCAGGACCATATGTGTTACAGTTGGTGTCCAAAGTGTCTCCCAATACCTCGTGTGTTACAGACTTGGTCCCTGGGGCACAGGGCTACTGGGAGGTGGTAGAGCCTTTGGGAAGTGAGGCAAAGTGGCAGCACATTGGGGTATGCTCTTGAGGGGAGGCTGGGACCCAATCCTTCCTTCTTTCTAGCTCTTCACTTCCTGGATGCCATGAGTTAAGTAGGCCTCCTCTACCTCCCTTCCTGCCATAACATGCTGGGCTACTACAGGCCTAGAGCAACTGGGCCAAGCACCATGGGACTAAGACCTCTGAAGTCATAAGCAAAATTAATCTTTCTTTTTTATCAGGTGATTATCCCGGATATTTTATAACAGTGATGGAAAGTTAACATAATATTCAGACTGGCTCATGTAGTATTGAAACTGGGAAGACCAGTCCAGCTGAGGCCATGAGAAGAGTCTGAAGTGCACTCATGGTTGATGACCATGAGGAGGAAGAAAAGGGAACTAGTCAAGTCATAGCCTTGAGGCGACGTAGAAAGAGTGGCTGTCCCTTTTTCTAAAGTATTAGGTGATATGAGAGAAATCTTGTAGCCTACATTCAACATGGAAGAAAATGAAGATGAGGACACCTGAGCCCTACAGCTAGCTAAGAGAAAAGACTGTAATTTTTAGAGAGCAGTGATAGAAAGATCTTAGAGAGTTTATTTAATAAAATTTGCTCTAGCAGCCCATAGTGTGAATTAGGAATTCTGAAATAATGCCTCTGTTTCTCAAGTCTAGGAACCACTAGTGGTTAAGGAACCACTCTGGGTTGTCCTTGGGAGAAATGCTTAGCTGATTCCATTCAACAGAGTGGCTGTTCATCCCACCACTCTGTTCAAGGACTGCTCCATACATGGCATCTTCACAGGGAGGGTTCAGCTGCTCAGGTCAGAGATGCCAAGTTCATCCTCCCACTATTCCTCACTGATGGTATTGAAGCTGAATTTGTAGTTCCTTCAGGTTTATGATTACAACCACTCATCCTCACCAGACTTTATGAAAGGACAATGGACAAGCCATCATTAGTCAGCTTTCTAGTTGCTGGGACACAATATCCCACAACTTACAGAAGGAGAGATTATGGCTCATGATTCACAGGATTCAGTCCATGACTGGCTGGCTCCAAGGCACAAACATCATGACAGATGGCCCTGGTGGAGGAAAACTCACCTCCTAGCAGCCAGGAAGCAGAGAGACAAGGGAGGTATGGGGAGGGCAATCTATTCCAAAGCCTCACTGAAGTGACCCCTCTTCCACTAGGCCCCACCTCCTAACAGCATGTTTAGCCATGAGCACATCAATGGATCAATCTATTGATGAGTTTAGTGCTCCAGAAAACCTCCCAAAAGCCCCTCCGCTGAACACAGGAGACTTTCTAGATCTATACCACTGTCCTCAGGTCCCTCCTTTTGTCAGTGGGATCATCAGATTTATAATCATTTTTATCCTTACTGTATCCATTTCCTTTGATCCCCATGTTCTACCTGGATCTTTTTATTTACTGTCTCTGGGATCCAGGACTGCAGATATTGTCTGAGAGGCCCAAGAGT